ACAAGTTCTCAAATTTGCTCATACTTTAAAGTGATCTAGATCCACCATGTCCTTATCCCATATATTCCTCAAATGAGAGGAATGAACTCTACTATCTACTCAACTCTACTATCTACTCTCATTTCTGCTGTATAAATCCAGAGTAATTTTGATTTTTTTCAGTGGGTTGTTCTGGATTGCTACTAATGTGAATTAACTCTATTAATTCTGCTGAGGAACTGTGCAGCTGATCAGCCTTGCTGCAGATTGGCTCTTGGTCAGCACTTGCCAAAGTAAACCTGTGTCTATGCTAGACCAGGCACGTCGGCTTAAAGTACACTATCCAGCTACGCAAAATGTGTACTTGGATTTAATACTTATTAGCCAGGATGGGTAGGAATGGTGTCCCTAGCCTCTGTTTGTCAGAGGCTGGAAATGGATGACAGAAAAGGGATCACTTGATGATTCTGTTTCTGATCACTCCCTCTGGGGCACCTGGTATTGGCCACTGTAGGAAGACAGGATACTGGGATAGATGGACCTTTTGTCTGATCAAGTATGGCCATTCTTATGTTCTTGTGGCTTACCTTACACCAAGCTGCCACAAAGTCTACATTGCAGGAGGCCAACAGGAACACACTCCCGTCAATTTCCCTTATTCCTCACAGAATGTCTTCTCACAGAATTCCTCACAGGATGCCTGTGGGGGCTACCCTCAGCATTTGATTTGGGGGCTACACTAAACCTGCTAAATCAGATGCTAGAAGATCAACCTCCAGAGGGTCAATCTTCTCCTTAGCGTAGACATGCCCTAAGAAAGTAAACTGTTACACCCATTTTACAGAAGTTTAAACACTGATGTGCAAAGACTTGCCCAAACTCACAGGCTAATGGAGTAGACACCTCATGCTATTGGAGACTAATTTTTAGGAGGATTGCTGCCTCCTGCAGGAATAAGTCATGCCTGCAATTGAACTGCAGGTCCATCTTGCCTTGTCTGATATGCTACCATTCCAGTTTGCACCAGCAATATCATTTGTTGTGGCTCAAACATGGGAGCACACATTCTTGTGGGTATAAATTGTTCCTGTACAGAAAGAGTTTGGATCTGAAGCCAGGCATGGAGCTATTCCATTAAAATTAACAGCAAGTCCAAGGAGCTCAGTTCTCCAAATGTTCTTTACCTGTCAACCTCTTGGGGTGACCAGCCTCCAAACCTTCTAGCTTTTGTGTATCATAGGAACAAAAGAGCAGAGTGTTTGTGAATTACAGTTGAGCTAAAAAAAAAAGCTTGGGTTGTACAGTTCCCTCTTAGTCCAGCCTGAATGGGGCCGTGCTCTGCCTGTTGAGCATCCAAGGATCATTATTGAGTCATTCTCTTTCCTGCCCTGAGCACCCAGCAGATGCTCCATATGACACCTGCTCAGCTACATTAGCAGGTGTGGCAGGAAGGGGGATGGAGAGCCAAGGGCCTGTTCATTTCCTGCCCATCAACTACTTTCAGAGAGCTGCTTCCTTTTACTGATACAAAAGACAGACTGTGATGTGGCTCTGTGTTGACCACCTTCATTCCTCCTCTCCCCCTTATGCTGTGCACACCCTAAACTGTCTCCTGCCCTGCCACATGGAGCTTGTTTCCACAAGTCTTGGGTTTTCTTGAAAAATGTGGGCTTTAATTTTAAGACTGGTTCTGCTCTGTTATTCTACTATAAATCAGTGATGTTTGTACAGGTATTAAGTGAAAGCCAGAAGCCCCCATATATGAATCTTGCTAACTGGAGTCTAAAGAATGAAAAGTAACTGATATTCATCTCTGTAATAAGTGTTTTTCTCATTTCCTTCACAGTCTTTTGCCTTCTCCATGCGTGTCCACCTGCCACAGCCTAATGGCAATACAGCTCACTGGGAGAGGTTACCTTTACCCAGGTCCCTTAACTGACTTTGGGAAGGGCAGGGGGCAGTTGGTTCCAGAATCTCTGTATCCGTCAGCACCTCTTTTCAGAGGTTTCAGGGTTCTTTTTATCCCCTGGGGGTGTCTGGGTGAAATTACTCATATGACCATAATCTCAACCAGGAACAAGGTTTATTAAACAAGATTTATTAAAAACAGAGCAAAACAAGAATGAAACTGTTCACTTCCCAGATTGAGATTTACACTCTTCATAGACTAAAGCAGATAAAGTAGAATTTTCAGCTTCTTTACAGACAGAGTAGTTACAGCTGTAAAATACAAGTCCCTGTTTTGACATCCTCCTAGTAAGTCACAACCTGTTTCTGGGTGTCCAGGGATGAATGTCTCTCTGACCTGGGCGCACACTGCTGCCCTCCAAAATTGCTGCCCTCCACTTCTCCAAGAGGGGATACACCAAAGATAAAAACAAAACAAAAACAAAACATTAAACCCAACCCCCTAACCAAATCCAGTAGCCCTTTTAACGGGTCATTGGCTCAGCCTAGTTACTACATCCCTCAAACAAAGGTGTTCCTCTCATCCAGAAGTTGCTGTATTGCCCTTTCAAACAGGCAGACTGGCATTTTTCTCAATAAAACACACCTACACTCATTTTTTTATGAATTAGGGGCAAAGGTCCAGAACCGCTACCACAGCTTGGTTGGAAACGTCTGTTTTCAGTCTTGGAATGGATTGTTTGTGATAAAGGACACCTCACATATGTAAGCAGTGGCTGCTGATTGATTTCACACATTGATGCATATTAGATGCAGCTGATGTATTTTCCTGTGAACCAGAAATAACAGGAATTGTGGTTGATGCTTCTAGACAATGGAGGATTGATTGACTAAGCAGCAGATGCTGCTGCTGAAGTTCTTACTGCACCATTTGTTCTTCTAGCCTGTGAGCATGTCAAAACTTCTGGGGTGCATCTGATCATCATGTGGAAACAGTGAGACCTTAATTTAGATATTCACAAATATAACAAAAAATAAGTTCTGGAATTCATAATCATGTATATAATTTTCATCACTTAGTCACTCTCTGCACAGATTTCGGTGCCATATCCATATGCTAATTTTACTTTGTTTACGCTTTACTCATCAAAATGTGATTTTTATAATATCCAGTTGATGCTCAGGAAACTTTGAGTTTTACTAGAATCAAGCTGGCTAATACAGAGGACATCTCTGGTTTGCATCTCAGATGGGAATATCTCTTACTGCACCGACTTCTGATAGTGAAAGAGAGAAATTTTCAATGTACACAGAGCAATTCTTTAGGCCTGGGAAGAGCTCTGTGTAGCTTTGAAAGCTTGTCTCTTTCTCCAACATAAATTGGTCAAATAAAAAAAATTACCTCATCCAGCTTTGTGTGTCTAATATCCTGGGACCAACAACATCACTGTAACCAAGGTGTGATGTGGCATACTAGCTCTGTTTAGATCCACAGAGGTGAATTTAGTATTGTTTTCTACAAAGTATTCTGTGTGAGGTAGGCCTCTTTCTGTTCACTATGGCTCTGCATCTTATTTTGGAAAGAATTCCTCCTTACAGCAACATTCTGGATCAGATTCCATTTTGGGAAATTTTTTTCTCCTGCAACTGAAGTGAACTATTCATGGCCCTGTAAAAGAAATTGAAATGGCTAGCATTTTTGGCAGCGTAAACCATATCTTTTATCTACTGTTATGCTTCCAGCAATCCATGCACTACAAGACTGACACAATGTACCAAATAGGTCACATGTGTAAACTAAATCTTTCTAAGATGTTAGCACCATTGTCACACTCTCCATAACCTGTTCTCAGCTTCTCTGAAGAAAACCACTATTTTATGTTGTTTTAAAGATTTTTTCCAGAAGCTGAATGATATATGAGCTTTCCTGAATACTTTTAGACATAGGAACACTGTTTTCATTGATGTCTTGCAAATGCTTACAGTGGATAAAGACAAGGAAATCCAATGAGCTATGACAGCCATATAGCCCAGTGTCGGATAGCTGATCCATGCTGTACGTCTGTGGTTAGATGTACAACTCCCCCAATGCCTCCCTGAGGACTGTCTTGCTTGGTATGCCTAATGAAGGCTTACACATTTTGAATACTTTCCTGCAAGATGAATAATATCTAGCAAGAAGGAACACTTCAAGTTTCTGTGCCCTTGATTTTTCATCTCCCCGTTACTTAATGTAGAGAGAATTGCTTCTTTGCATTGTGTGTATTTTTGTTACATGACATTAAAAATGTCATTAACAATTTTGCCTTTCATGAATGTGGTACCTGAATCTGTTCTTTCAATATGAACCAGTTTTGTAAGTGCCCAAGTATTATGTGCTGTTGAAGAAAACACACTTAAAACATGAGTCATGATTTGAGATGAAAGTAGAACTGGCATTCATTCCTCTCTCCCTTCAAATCCCCTGCTTGAGATGAATGGGTTTGTCTTTGTGGTAGTTATGGAGACACTAATACTAAATCTGTGAACTTCAATGCCCATATAGATGACACTTCCTGTCAATCATCTCGACATCTCAGTCACCCTGACTACCATGTGTTTGTCCCACATGGCCTATACTCAATTTATATTTCAGTTTTGGATTAGGACTGGAGTCTCAAAAAGAGTAGAGGTGATGCCTTTTTACAGGCTGACCCTTAGCTCTGTCACCTATTTTACTTGTCCAGCATCAGAGCTAATGCTTCCCTAATTACTAGGTTTTTCATAGCTCTGAAGAAGAGTACTCTCTTGCTGACAGGCTATAAGTGGTCATGTAGGACCATCTCATTGTCCTTGATCATCATCACAATGTCACCTAATTTCCCTCTTCCTTGTCTTTATCTTTATTGAGCCGCG